CGGGCGACGATTGTCAACATAAACATGGATTTGCATTCATTTGTCCGCTCCATCAGAACCAACCACAACAACAACAACTCCAAGACCAACACATCCGGCAATAGTCAGCGCGAGTTTGTGTCCCAATGTCACGCCGACAGACCCGCACGACTCGACCGACTGCTCCAACAGGAGTCGGTCACCGCTGAGGTACAGGTCCTCAACTCGTGGTCGTTGGTCCACAAGAGCCCACACATTAATATCCGCAATGAGGGACTGGTAGGCAAGCGGCGACCGGTGGCCAAGTCGACCGACTGCATGCGCGGCCGAGTGGGCTATACTCACGGCCTCCACGTCTGGACAATCAAATGGCCGGCCGATTGTCGCGGCACTCACGCCATGGTAGGTGTGGCCACAGAGGCCGCACCCCTTCACACCACAGGTCAGTCACATTTGTCTCTAAGTATGAATAACCCATTCCTCACTACTAGACTACCTCTTCCCACGAGTTAATCATTTTTACACACATTTTCCAATCGTTTACTGGAAATGCTTTTAGTTTTATAGTATTTGATCACTTATTTTGCCTCAAAGTGTGCAACGAATTAATGTTTGTATTGTTTGTATTGTCTGTGGTTTTGGTGTTCAGGCTATTGCTCTCTCGTGGGCTCTAACGAGGAGTCGTGGGGCTGGGATTTGGTCCGAAACAAGTGTTACCACAACCTCAATGAACAGACGTATCCTAATTGGTTGACCTCTAACGAGATATTCGACATTCCCGACGAGTTTATGGTAGTGCTGGACATGGATGACGGCACTCTGGGCTTCATAGTGGACCAGATCTATTTGGGGGTCGCCTTCGACGGCCTGAAGGGCAAGAAGTTGTTTCCTGTGATCAGTACTGTTTGGGGCAATGGAGAGATTGGCATCAAATACGAGTCGTGTCTCGAACCCAATCCACTACTACTTCGCGAGTGTTGTCGTCAAGTGATCCGCAAATCCGTCGGAAAGCAAAGGATTAACAGAATTAGATCTGAAATAGTTTTGCCCAACAAATTGAAGAATTATATAATTCAGTGATAAGACTGTGAAACAAGCCATTGGACTGATCCATAGGACTGATCCATAGGACTGATCCATAGGACTGATCCATAGGACACATACACTACACACACCCATGAACTCGGAGTGAGATTATAATTGATTTGTTTTCGTTGTACCTAAATATGTATTTTTAAAA